GGTACGTTTTGCCTCAATTTTTCAAACCATTATTTAAAAGCGCTTCTAAAAACTTACTTTAGAACATGTATTTTGTAGTAGTGTTTTTTTTGTAGTAGTGTTTTATGCATGAATTGTATGTGAAAGTTTATAAATGATCTTAAATTCAACTAAGGGTTAATTTTATCCTTTAACCTTAAATGGCGTGAATTATTTATTAGCAAGGCCCACTCCATTTTTTATTATTTTTTCACACCTTACCCTTCCCTCGTCCACCTCTCCTCTCTCTCTCTCTCTCTCACACACACATTCTTCTTCTTCTTGCTCTCCTTCTCGTATGTCCAATATCCCTTTGCTTCCCTTCCTCTTCATGTATCTTCTCCATGCTCTCCTTCCCATTTATCTCCTTCTCTCTTCTCTTTAAGCCTTATTCCTCGCAACATGGATGTTCGTACAACATCATGAATTGCACCACACTCTTCCTCCACCCCACACGTGCCACTGCCTGCGCTCACACCAGGTTCTCAATCACTATCAACTGGCTTATTAGGTTCCCCACAATTGCGAAATGCCTCTTCCTCTTCACTATATCACGACCAGAGATGATGAACTTGGAGATGGTGTCGGCAACTTGATCACATTCATACAACACAACACATATATATGACATAAATTGACCAATGGTTAAGTCTTGGGTCATTCATGAACTTTTATGTATAGTTCCAGGACAAAAATGACTCTTGACCCTAGATTCTATAAATGTCTCAATTAATTCCCTTACTTAATGACTGTCCTCTTATTGTAATCACACAATTTTATTAATGCTTAAAAATTCATGTTTGACCAAAAATAAATGAAACGGGTGAGTTAAATGATAGTTTCATAAGAATGTATTTTAAAAAGACAATCACATAAACCATTGAATTAACATATAGGGCTTAAAAAGATAGGATTGTTATTTGGTATTCTCTCCGTGTCTCGTGTAATTAACATATTTGCTAACCATTTGATTGAGAATTAACAGTCTCTATAGTGCCACAGATGTGATACTCTAACTGAATGAGATGATTAGAGGCACTTGCTGAATTTGGATCCTTTATTATATGTCTCAGTAACATTCCTTGATTACACTATATATTACAGTGATGTCCTGAAATTTCTTGGTCATGAAAGTTAGGCGCCCTTGTTTAACTAATCATATAACATTAATTTGTTGATTAGTCAAGAGATCTATATTTTAGAACTAGCGCATCAAGACTGACTACACTTTTTGTACCTCGTTAATTAATTAATTATCAATTTCCTGCCAGGTTTTCTGAAAGATTTAAAAAAAAAAAATTAACGTGTCAGATTAGATTACATGACTGAGTGTTTATAAAACCAGTGGCTGAGAGGCATTCTTCGGTGTTCACGCCCTAGACGAAAACCAGAGCAAAAAGTCTCAATCACGCATGCATATATAAAGGCTGCTTAAAAAAAAAAAAAATCTGGTGAACAAAATTTAAGTAAACTGAGTGTGAAAATTTATCAGGACCAGGAAAGACTCCAATTGGTTTAATAAACTAACGTTGCACGACCCAAAATTAACGAGTGACAGTGAATCAGCATTTTTTTTTTTTTTTTTGGGGACCAGCTAGAGGTGAGGAATTTAAACTTCATTGACGTAAGTATGTAACCCGAAAAAATTAACATCGCACAGAAACAATACGTGAAAGTTTTCTTTTATTATTAATTTTTATACAGAGAAGTATATAACATTCTGCAATTTTTTTTTATTTCATTTCATTCTGGAAAATATGGAAACCACATGAGGTCTGTTGACCCGTAAAAAGAAAAATAATTAACGAAAGCCTCCAAAAGGTTTGGTGTGTAGACCCCTGGACTAAATGGGCCCGAGTTGATAAATGATATAGGTTTGGCGTAGAAAAGAGTCGTCACTCGTCAGAGTACGTATTTGGAGATATTCAAAACATCCGCAATCAATAATCGATTAATCATATAAAATCCTTAGTAACTTACCGGGAAGAAAAATTATAATGAGTCACGCTATGTGAAGTATGGTTCATTAGACGAGATTGAATAATAATGTACTGTGAACCAAATAATGCACAAACAGTACGGTCCACTTGTAGTTTTTGAAAAAGGGAGATCAGCCTTGAAAAGGTATATTATTGCATTTTGCACTATAAGCCCAATGGTCATTGTTGCAATTTTTTTTAGATAAAAAGTACAATTTTCCTTTTATGATTTCAAAATATAACCTATGCAATAATATACAACACAATATTCATTGTACACAATACAATATTCACATATTTTTAATTGAAAGTTCATGCATATCCAATTTCTCAATAAGCTTAATACAATGTATAAGTTATGCAAATAATGCACAACACAGTATTTACTATGCGCAATATAATATTTATATATGAAAATCTATGCATGTTTAGTTGATCAGTTGGCTAGGCTTAACAAAATATATGTTAGATAGACAATGTACAACACAATATCTATTGTACACAATACAGTGTTTATATATTTTCAATTAAAAGTTCATGCACGTCCAGTTGATTAGTAGGCTAGGCCTAACAAAATGTACTTGTCAGGCAGACAATATATAATACAATATCCACTATGCACAATACACTATTCATATATTCTTAATTGAAATTTTATGCATGTTCAGTTTATCAGTTGGCTAGGCTCAACAAAAAGTTTTTCAAGTTTATGAACAACAGAAAGTCTATATATAACATAATAAGATTCATTTATTAACAATATAATATCCATCTATTTCACATAATTTGTGTGATTAAGTTGAACATTTGAAAAAGTTTCTCAAGTTTATGAACAATAAAAAGTTCGTATATAACATGAAAGTATTTATTTGTTAACAACACAATGTCCATATATTTCATATGTTTTGTGTGACTAAGTTGAACATTTGAAAAGGTTTATCAAGTTTATGAATAATAAAAAGTTCATATATAACATGAAAATATCCATTTGTTAACAACATAATGTCCATCTATTTTATACGATCCATGTTGTTAAGTTGAGCATTTGCAAAAGTTTTTTAGGTTTATAAACAATTAAAAGTCTATATATAATATGACAAGGTCTATTTATTAACAATATAATATCTATATATTTCACATGGTCCGTTTGGTTAAATTGAAGGTTTTCAAATAACATGATAGGTTCTACATATCAACAACACAAGTTCCTTTTATATGGCACACATGAACATATGTACAAGGTCCTTATATATCAACAATATGTTTTCATTGAGTTTTTAAGAACAAATACATCATGTTTAGATAATCTACAATTGAATATCCAATATTAACAAGATAATGTTCATGTTTTTACAACACATAATTCAATTTTTTTACTATCAAAAGTTGAAGGTCCAGCTGGAAATTGCTACTGCATAGTGAGATGTAAAAGCTATCCTTCCTATAATCTAATTCATCGAGAGCTATAATTAACTAATTTACAGCAGAACATCCATAAATAACATCAAAATACCCATATATTTATCACACAAGGTCTATTTATATGATATACATAAATATATGCACAAGTTAATTACAAAGTTTGCACAATGTAAACTTTATAAATAACAACATAAATTTCATAAATAATATTTACATCAGAACATGTATATCTGCTATAGAAAAATCTATATTAAAAACAACAAAAAGTTCATAAATAATAACTTGTTTTCATTAAATCAACAACAATGTCCTACTTGAAATTTTCCAGATGAAATTTACAAGTAACCCGTTTGAAATTTACAACAAAAGGTTCATAAATAATAATTGAAATTCATTCATTAACAACAGAATGTCCACTTAGATACATAATCTTTGGTCAATGAAATATTTTACAACAAAATAAAATGAAGGGAAAGAAGCATGGTCTAAGAAGTGTAAGGAGATGACAATATATTGTTCTTCAAAGAATTTAGTGTGATGGTACTCAGAAGTATGATGACAATCAAATGCATTATATTGGTGGGAATTCTAATAGTGTAGACTAAGACACGATCCATTCTTATACAATGACTTGTGGCAGCGGCAAATTTGCCATTAGCTACCCACAGTAGCAGCTACCCATGATTCATGGTTGTATTAGTGAAAGAATGCAGGACATCATATTTGCCCTCCCATCCATTGCCCTAAGCACCATCTTTACTGGAAAATCATTTAGAAAACAATAGGAAATTAGTATGGAAAAAGAAGGGAAAGAAGAAAGTCTGAGGAAAAAGAAGAGAGGGAAGAAAATGCGAAGTTGAGACTAAATCAATAAGGGCAAAATTGTATTTTTGATTCAAAAAAAAATTGCAACAAGAATCAAGGCCTGCAGTGCAATATCATATTTTTTTAGGCCAAAAGTGCAATAATGTTTTTTTAAGGACTCTTAGTGCAATTTTCCCTTTGAAAAATTGTCCTCCTCGTATATAGTTGATTTAGTTGAAAATCAACATCGCGTGAAAAACAATTATTTATTTTGTTAAAAAAAGATTTAACGCCGTGATGTAAATTAAATGATAGCCATTGATATGGTGGTGAAGTACTTTTGACTTTAACATTTGGTGACTTGAATTTTAGCGAATCGATGATATAAGGTGTCACAATTGAAACGATTGAATCATTGAATGAATAAAATTACAGCTTGACATTAAATTGAGATCTAGCTAGTTCACTATGATCAGCAAACTTATTTACGGGTAATTAACAAGCCCTTCACTAATCTTAAGTACCAGATTAAAGGGAACCATGCGTGGACCGGATCACGAATCTATGAGCTGAAAGTCGATCACGTCATAGGGCTGTCTTTCTCCACCAATCTGCCCTTATTTGGCCACACTATTTTTTCCAGCTTCTCGTCTCTTTGAAAATTTTACTCTATCAGAGAACCTTGTCATTCTCTTTTAAGCCATATCACGAACTATAGATCTTTTTTTAAAAAATAATTATATTCATAAAGGCGTTTGGGATTTTGGTGTTTTATTTACGGCAACCAAAAAAAAAAAAAGCAAAGTGCCAATGCAAAGAAATAATAAGGGCGAAAAGGAAAAAGAAAAAAAAGGAAGTCAGCTAAATCATAAAACCAAGTGAGATATAGGATGCTTCCTGGACCTTGCTCCTCATCGATCAGCTTAATCTTTCTCTCTCTATAACTTTCTTTGTCTCTTCCAATGCGTTTTACAATTTGCCGCCTCTTCCTCCATATTCTGCTACACATCATCGTCATCGTCATCCCCCCCTCTCACCTACGCTATATTTAAAATACCAGGCCCTTGATTTTTTATATATGCACTTCTATCCTCTTCCCTGCCATTTCTCTCCAAAACCATTAATCTTGATTACTATAAGAAGAGAGAAAGGGCAAAAAAAGTTGGGGGGAGGTTAACGGGTACCATAATTGCGTTGAAGAAAAATCTCGTCAATACCTGTTTCCCCCCGTGTTTGATTGCATGGTGGATTCCGTAGAGTCTTGATGAATTGTAGTGAAAAAGGATATATATTCTTCTGGAATGATATTGCAGAGTAGCTCAGATAAGCAATCCATGTCCTAGAAAGAAAGCGACTCGGAGAATAATCCATCATCATCCCTTCACGAGACTAGTTTTACTTTCTGGCATCCTCAGTGAATGATTCCTTTCTCTCTGCTGCCACCTGTTCACTACCTGTAATTAGTTTAATTTGTGGGCAAGGCTAGGACTTTTCTTCGTTTCTAGGGGTCGTCTTCTTAGTTTTGTTCCGAGGTGCAAAAGTAGCCCACACGATTCTAGTCCGGCAAATATATATTAAGAATATATCTCATCTCTTACTTTTTTTTACCCTTCTCTTTTCTCTTTTTGTGCTTTGGAGTTTTCTACAGCCATGTCCAATTCTGCTTCTTTGTCTGAAGAAGCCACTGTTTCTTCTGGTACTAGAGTCCAGAACTTCACTGCATCGGATCATGTCGTTTCAACCATTCAGCCTCAGCAGCCCCAAAAGATAAAGAGAAAAAGAAGCCTCCCTGGAAATCCTGGTAATTAATTTGTTCTTCAGCTTTTTTTGTCAAATATCTATTATCAGCTGTGTATCTTAGTTTTTTTTTTTTAATTTTGTTATTTCAGACCCAGATGCTGAGGTGATTGCGTTATCCCCAAAGACCCTTCTGGCTACCAATAGATACGTGTGTGAAATCTGCAACAAGGGTTTTCAGCGAGATCAGAATCTCCAGCTACACAGGAGAGGGCATAACCTTCCATGGAAGCTCAAACAACGGAACAGCAAAGAAGTGAAAAAGAAAGTCTATGTTTGCCCCGAGCCTTCGTGTGTTCATAACAATCCCTCGAGAGCTCTGGGTGATCTCACGGGTATCAAGAAACACTATTGCAGAAAACATGGGGAGAAGAAGTGGAAATGCCACAGATGCTCCAAAATCTACGCTGTTCAGTCAGATTGGAAAGCTCACTCCAAAACTTGTGGAACTAGAGAATACAGATGTGATTGCGGAACCCTTTTCTCCAGGTAATTTCTCACTAACTTAACTGATTAAAAGTTATCTCAGCTTTCTACTCTCTTCTTAACTAGTTTGACCTTTGATGGATTTACTGGTGGTTCTGAGTGTGAGCTAATCAAGGGCTTACTTTTGATTTCACCGCACAGTCATATTCATATATCAAAAGAGGGCCTCTTTAATATTTGTTTTCAAGTGGTTTCACACAAGAATGGTAAGATCTACTTCTGGAATATATCTCTGCTGCTCTGATGCAATATACAGCAGGTTGCATGAAAGTGGAGACAGCTAATATACGAGTGTCTGTTGCTGCTGGTAGGGTTAATTAGTGCGCTATATATAATTATACTAAAGAAAAAACTGAACATTCATCTGTCCCTGAATCCTGAAACTGCCAAATGAATGTTCGGCAACCACAAAAAGTACAATCGACATGCCTACATTTATTTGCTTTACTGTTTCGCCCGTGAGTCGTCGCTCATTGGTAATTTTCTTGTTTTTTTCTTTTAACCTGACCATACAATTCTGGGTCTGGGCAATGTTTGCATGCCCATATCCATGTAAAACATAACCAATTTAATGTTGTAAACCGCACTGAAATTTTTCGAGGTTCAGATTGTGTTCAATTATGTAATTTCACTTGGGCAAAATAAAAAACACAAAATTATAGCATCTCTTGCTCGTCAAGTTTCTTTAGCTATGTTGTTAACCAAAAAGTAGACGTTTGTGTAATACTTGAAAGATTCTGGAGAGTTGTGTTTCTCTTTTTATATTTTACTATCAAAAGAACGGCATTTTTTGTTTGAAAATTGCCTCCGAGCTGATCATCATTGTGATTTCTGATAAATCTGCAAAAATTTCTGACATGCCGGTTGCTTTCTTTGTTGCTTCATCAATAGAGAATAGGGATACGTATGGGTTTGTTCAATTTTTCAATTACATATCTTCGTGACATGCATGAGCTCTTATTTCGAAGGACATTTTCGTCATCATGGCAATTTTCCCAATAATCTATCAATATTGGAATGGAGCCAAGCATAAAGCAAGCATCCATCAATGGCCCTTCTTCTCTCTCTCCTACTTTGATTTTGACCCTCCAACATAAATTATCTATTATACGGCCATTGTTTCAGCATTTCGCGCGACACACCTGAATCCCCGTGCAAGGTTTCCCCTAACAAATGAGATGAAATAATACGTCGTTATAACATTACTATTGTGTTATCTAAATGATTAGTTTGCTTAAGTGCAAGTTTAGATTTTAGTTTACATTGATTAAAAATGCATTTAAGGGATTCAACTATTTATTAGATTTGGTAGAAGTACATTTTATAACTTTTGAAGTAACTCAAGCAGGTTCTAAAACTTTGATTGTGTGTAAAAACTGCAGGAAGGACAGCTTCATAACTCATAGGGCGTTTTGTGACGTATTGGCCGAAGAAAGTGCAAGATTCACAGCCAATCAACTAACTTCCACAAACCCAGTGTTATTTCAATCTCTCTTCCCTTTCCAAAATCAGATCTTGGTGAATTCCTGGGATGCATCTGGAGAAAACCCTAACCCTAGTAACATTGATACCATCCATATCAAGACCGAAGCTCAGTGTTTTCAGGTCCCAACACCCTTTTCTTCACAATTTCTTCAAGTGCAGCAGGAGAATCAGAAGAACGTGATAAACCCATTCTCAGGAACTCTCCATGTGCCCTCAAACGCCGCCACCTCGGCCCACCTGTCAGCCACTGCGCTCCTCCAAAAGGCTGCAAATGTGGGTCCCACTTCTATCGCAGTTCCAGGCGCTGCCGCTGCAGCTGATGGCTGTGGGCCTCAGTCGACAATGGGTCACGTGACTCAGCCAAGCATGGGCGAGTATGGACTTGCAACTCAGCAGATCGACTCGGGGGGTCACGACTGCATTGGAGGGCTCATGACCTGGAATCAGAGCGAACGTCTGACCAGAGACTTCCTCGGCCTGACCGCCGATGTAAACGGCGGAAGCAATGGTGACTCCGTTGACGTTGGCCTGAGCGCGAGGGACATGCTGATCTTCACGGGGGGAGTAGAGTGTGAGTATCTTCCATACGATCACCATCAGCACTCCTCACTCTTCAAGTGCCAACAAGATTCTGGATTCTTTGGGACTGTCACTGCCCCAGAGACATGGGGAACTCTTGAGAACTCTTGAGACCAACAAGAAAATACTTCCAAAACACGGAGGGTAAAATGGCCAGCCGAGATTCTGGGTTTTCTCTAAACTTGTCGGTCTTCGTTTGCTGGATGTGCTGTTTACATTTGGATATTAGTGATTATTTTTTGTTAAGGAAGTGTAATGCATTATTAGTGATGATCAGGTTCCTCTTTAATATATATATATATATATATATGCGCGCGCGCGCGAGCGTATGTATGTATGTATTGACGGAAAGAGAGAGAAAGGGAGCTGCGAATAGATGATATACTATATTAAAGATTTAATAATCCAGCGTTGCGCAATATATGTTGTATAGATCATGGCATGTATAGAATGAATCTGTCACTTCAATGGGAAGCAGGGGCAAAGGCAGCAGGAGACACTGTGTGCATGTGTAGGGGTTGCATGGAGAGAGGGTTAGTAGATTGCGGGGCCTTTCATTTCTTGTCAGTATTGCTTTTAACAGATGAAATGTCACATGCAATATTATGATGATGGATTCATCCTTTGGTTGTCACCGCTGATCTGCCCTCTCTTCATTACAGTTTTGGTTTTTATTTGCTCCTTTCCATTTCATTTGAAAAGTTTAATCATCTTTGGAGCTAGAATCTAGATGCCAGGGTGGCAATTCGAACCATACATAGCTCCTGTGCGAATTCCGAATCTTAGTCCGTGAGGCCACAACTTATAATGGCGCCCACCACCAACACATTTAAACCGTACAACCTGTCTCTGTGTGTGTGTGTGATAGGGACTTAGAAGAGTAGGGATTAGGAAAAGTAATCTATTAAGTTAGCTAGAGCAAGGATCTCACTCTAAATAACTTAACAGCCAAGTAGAAGAATCTCCAAAGGAATAATGGAATCATCTCTTCATTCATATCCTGCTGTGTATGGGAGCTAGGATATTTAAAATAAGAGAGTACAAATGAATAATTCAAATAATACAAGATACTAGCCTAAAAATTAGGAACTACTCGCAGGAACCTCCCTAACAGCCTTAAGGTCCTATTATTTAGCAACTAACAGAATAACAATTCAAATAACAAATAAAATAACAGCAACAATTAATTTAAATCAGATAAATCCCTTAAAACATGCATGACAGCATCAGTTTCAACTATCTTCCTCTTCTTTCTATGATGATAAGTTATTAGTAGTCTCATAAGCTGATTTGGATCCTTATCATTACTTCCCCCCTAGAAAAACGACTTGTCCTCAAGGCAAAAAGTTGGAAATTGCCGTGCAAAGAGATCATAATCTTCCCAACTTGCATCTTTCTTTGGTTGGGATTCCCACTGGATCAATAGCTCCAAATGAGGCCCCTTCCAACGATGAGATAGTATGGTTTCAGGTGCCAAAATGAGTTTAAAATCTGCTGAGAGTGGCAATTCAGCTGGAGGGTCCAGAGGAGGTAGTCCCCAAGCTGCTCGCAATAATGAGACATGAAAAATTGGGTGAACTTTAGCTGTTGAAGGGAGCTTCAGTTCATAAGCCACTGGTCCCACCTTGCGAACTATGGTATAAGGCCCAAAAAACTTAGGTGAGAGCTTGTCATACTTCTTGTGTGACAATGAGCGTTGCCTGAAAGGCTGAATTCTTAAGAAAACTGCATCTCCTACCTCAAAAGAGAGCTCACACCGATGATGGTCAGCATACCTCTTCATTCGGTGTTAAGCTTTGGTCAAATTATCCTTAAGCAGTTGCAGCATTTGGTCTCTAGTTTCCAATTGTACAGCAAGGTCATCAATATGAGTTTCACTTTTAATGAAAGGATGAAGGGGAGGTGGGTCCCTTCCATACACCATCTTGAAGGGAGTAGTGTTGGCAGAAACATGAAAACTAGTGTTGAATGAAAATTCAGCCTAACATAACAACTTATTCCAGGAGCGTGGCTGTTCATGTGTAAAACACCTTAGGTAAGTCTCAAGACAACGGTTGACCACTTCAGTTTGCCCATCACTCTGTGGGTGGTAGGCGGTACTCATCTGAAGGCGAGTTTGACTTAATTTAAACAATTCCTGCCAAAAGGCACTTAAGAAAAGTGGGTCCCTATCTGAAACAATAGAACGAGGTATGCCATGCAAACGAACAATTTCTTCACAAAAACGAGTGGCCACAGATTTAGCAGTATAAGGATGTGATAGGGGAATAAAATGGCAGTATTTACTCAGCCTATCAACTACTACCAATATAGTGTCAAAGCCACCAGATTTGGGTAATCCCATAATAAAATCAAGGGAAATATCTTCCCAAATATGGGTAGGAATAGGTAACGGCTACAACAGACTAGCAGGAGATAAAGTTTCATACTTATTCTTTTGACAAGTAAAGCATTGTTGCACTATTGCTTTCACATCATGTTTCATTTTGGGCCAGTAGACCGTACCTGATAGACGCTTTAAAGTTTTCAAGAAGCCCTCATGACCCTCAGAAGGTGTCACATGTGCCTCTTGTAGCAGCTTGGGGCGAAGAGAGGAGCATTGGGGAATGACCAGGTGCCTATTAAAATATCATTTTTGCTCAACCAAGCTGTACCCAGGGCGAGAGCTTGGATTTTCTTTTAAAGCAGCAATGATATCAGCTGTAAATGAGTCAACAAGCAAAGCCTCTTGTAATTCTAGACAGTCCAACGGCACAGGTATCACCATAGTAAGAAAATCAGCATGTTGTGGCCTCTTGGAAAGAGAATCAGCTCCAATGTTTTCTTTTCCAGCCTTATACACAATACTAAAATCAAAAGGAAGGAGTTTAAGGATAAGGCATTATTGGGTATTTGTCAAAATTCTTTGCTGTAGCAAATTCTTTAAACTGCTATGATCGGTCCTCACTGTGAAATGCCTCCCCAATAAGTAATGACGCCATTTTTGTAGTGCCAATACTAATGCCAATAGCTCTCGATCATAAGCAGACTGAAACCTATTAGAGAAAGATAGCCCTTTACTATAAAAAGTAATGGGATGGTCATTCTGCATAAGAATTGCCCTAACACCATCCATGAAGGCATCACATTCTACAACAAACTCAACAGTAAAATCAGGAAGTTTTAAAACAGGAGCAGTAATAAGATGACATTTAGGCCTCTCAAAAGCTCTCTGTGCTTCAGGTGACCAGCAAAAAGCATTCTTTTTAGTTAATTCAGTAAGGGGACGAGCAATAATACCATAGTTCTTGACAAACTGTCGGTAATAGCCGGTAAGTCCCAGGAAGCCACGAAGCTCGATCACATTGGTAGGTTCTGGCCACTCACTCACAGTGCTGATCTTTTCAAAGTCGGTTTCCACTCCTTGTGCTGAAACTTTATGCCCCAAGAAGGAAACACGAGTCTGCCCAAATTCACACTTCTTAAAGTTGGCATAGTAATGTTGCTGCTGCAAGGTAATAAATACTAATCGGAGGTGCTCTTCATGCCGTTCTAAAGTGGAGCTATAGACTAGGATGTTATCAAAGAAAACTAGTACCAACTTTCAAAGATAAGGGCGAAAAAGATCATTCATAGTTGCTTGAAAAGTAGCAGGGGCATTTGTTAGTCCGAAAGGCATGACAACAAATTCATAGTATCCACTATGTGTTCTGAATGTTGTCTTGCGAATATCAACTGTTAGGACCCGAATCTGGTGGTACCCAGAACGAAGGTCGATCTTAGAAAAATAAGTGGCGCCATGTAACTCATTTAAAAGCTCATTAATGTTGGGAATCAGGTATTTATTCGGGACCGTGATCTGGTTCAAAGCCTTATAGTCTACGCAAAATCTCCAAGAGTCATCCTTTTTGTTTACTAACAAGACTGGACTGGCAAAAGGGCTTGAGCTTGGCTATATGAAACCTTTCTATAACAGCTCATCTACCTATCTTTCAATCTCAGTCTTTTGGAAGTAAGGATAGCGATAAGGACATAAGTTAGGAGGTTGAGCCCCCGATAGCAGATGGATGGCATGATAATGATCTCTAAAAGGGGACAAGTTAGTGGGTTCATTAAACAAACTATCAAACTCCACCATGAGCTCGTCCACATCTATTGACTTAGCATCTGGTGACCCCAATTTAAGCTCAGAAGAAAACATTGAGTGCAAGCTTGCTTTTTGGTTGGTGGATGGAGGCACTCCTTGAAGCTTATACCTCTTACCATCAACCCAAAAAATTAAAAACATTTCATTCCAGTTGGCTTGATTGTGTTCAATGAGGCTAACCACTTAATGCCCAGGACTAAATTCGTTCCAGCAAGAGAGAAGGGGTAGAAGTCTTGCTTAAGAGTTAAACCTGGAAGCTTTACTTCCACTTCTTTACATACCTTGTTGCAGTGAACAATTCTGCCATCTCCAATTTGAACTCTAAAAAAAGACATAGGGCAAGTCGGCAGGCCCAGTTCTTGCACCAATAAATCAAAAATGAAGTTATGTGTGGATCCATTATCCACAAGGAGCAAGACGTCATGGTTATGCACTAACCCACTGAGTTTCATCGTTGTTGCAGTGTTATTGCCCAGTACGCATTAAACGAAATCTCTGCAGTCTCTAGAATCTCATCTTCAGCTTCTGTAACAGCTTCGTTGTGCTCAGATAGTGGCTGGCCATCCTCGTCGATCTCCATAAGAAAGAAAGAAGAAGTTTTGCAGCGATGCCCAGGCTGAAAAACATCTCCACAACAGAAACAAAGACCTTTATCCCTGCGGCGTTGCTGTTCGGAGTCCGAGAGAGCTGGTTTAAGTAGCGTCATGCTTACCGGACGGAAGTTTGAAGATGACGCGTTGGAGCTCCTAGGTGTGTTCGGTGAAAATGCTGAAGCTGTCCCCTGTGAATCACGTGTAATATTATTTTGCTTGCTGAAATAAGGATTGGACCGGTTTTGACCATAAGAAGCTATGGGTTTGGGCCCACGTTGGAGTTGAGACTTTTTCTCATATTCTAGGGCAAGACTTAGTGCCTTAAACATAAAACGTGGCTTTTGAATTCGCACATCAGCTCTCAATTCTTCCTTTAAGCCACTTAAAAAAACTCCAAGGAGGCAGTGTTCTGGCCAGTGAGAAACTCGGGCTACACGCTTAGCAAATTCCTGTCTATATTCCTGCACAGATCTGGTTTGCTTGATGGAACAAAGGTGCTCATCAGGATTCTGAAATTCAAGCCGTCCATAGTGCTTTTGCAAAACTCTCACGAGTTCATCCCAGTAAAGTAAGGTGCGTGCTGAATTAATCCAAGAGAATAAATCCAATGCATCTCCCTCTAAATTTATGGAAGCAACATCTACCTTCAAGTCTTCTGGTGTTTGATAATACTAGAAAAATTTCTTAGCCTTCAAAATCCAACCTCGTGGGTCCCCTCTACTAAATTTTGGAAAATCCATTTTTGTATATGGTGGTCGTGGGCCTCTTCTGTCAAAGTCATCTTCACTGTCTTCCTCCCAATGAGAGCGCCTATAATGACCATCCATGGTTCGCCTACCTCTCCCATTTGTAGAAGCTTCAAGTGCTTCAACCTTTTCTTTCAACAATTTAAGTGTCTCTAATTTGGAAGCAATTACTGTTAACG